GCCAGCTGGACAGGTTGAGGTACAATTTACTGGAAATATATTAAAAGTGTCTTGGGAAATGATTCTTAGAAATGTTCCCACTGCTGGTGTGATGCAGATTAGAACCCCAGTGTGCAACTGAGAAAAATTAAATTGTAACAAGAAACCCCTGATGGCACAGTGATGGCTTGTGGGAAGGAGGGTTGCATTTAAGGAACTAAAGGGAGAAAATTCAGCCTCTGGCCACTTTCTGTCTAGGTCCAAGCTGGGTCTGCACAGAGCAGGGGACTGGACAGGTTAGGGCATTTCGCTCTGACAACTGAGATCAGTGTGCATTTTCCAGGTAGGTGAGGTGTCAGACTCTGCATTGTCCTGTCTCTGCACCCTGCCCCAGTAGTGACATCCCAAGGGACCCAGGGCTCGCTGCTATATGCAGCTTTATGCATAGACAAATGTGGCAGTCACTCGTATGATGGATTTGTGCAGAGGAAAAAACTTTCTGGCTGGCGTGGCCACCATTCAACCTGTTATTTCCCCCAAAGCAGGGGCTTTCCAGGAATCTCTATTTGAAATGCAAATGTCCAGAGAAAGGGAAGAGACATTTCTTAGTCATTAACACCATGATGAGAACCAGTGTCATCAGAATTCAGCAAGCTGAACAGTCAGGACCCTAAGAGAGTGGGACACAGGACAGAGCAATTTTGAAGAGTGGAAAGAATTTCTTTGGAATTGCTTAACGAAGGCAAATGAGGGTGGGACACTGGAAAGTGGGTCTGTGGTCCTCATGAAGGGTGGGGAAGGCTGGGGCAGGGGATGCACACAGAATTGAGACAGAGACTATAGAGATGAGATGTGATGTGTAGGGCATCAGTATGAATCTCACCAACCTCAGACTCTGCCTTGGAATTGTCCTTCAAGTGACATGAGCAATTCTACAAATCTTGTCTCTTTACTTTTGTCCTAGAAATCTCATAGAAATTTTATTGCCCTATGGGCCTTCAGCTCTTTAAGCTCTAAATTAAAAAAAACATTAGGTATATGACAAATATAAAAATAGGCAAAGCCCCTTTGAATATTTTTATGATCTGCCTAACACATAGTAGATGGTCAAATGTTTATTCAGATGAACTGAATGTGTGGAACAGGTGTTAATATCATTCCATTTTATGGATAAGGAAATTGAGCCTCAGAGGGGTGAGTTGCCCAAGATCAGGCAACTAATCAGTCCCTCCTTGCAGTACCCCACTTTGGCCTGCCCTCCTGGAGTAGCTCCAAATCAGTCCTTTCTGCTTTCTAGTTCTGATTCCAAAGCCAGCCCTCTTATACTGCTTCCTGTATGAAAATGGTATTGGTTTTTTTGTTCCATCTAATAAAACCATGTACATGTAAAAAAATTGAATGATATGCAGGGAAGAACTTGACCATTTAATTCCAACCTGCTGAGTCTGCTGGACTGATAGGTTCCCAGTTGCCCAACCAGATATACTTTCAGGCAACTTAAGGCCTTGGACAAATCTGCTTCTAGAATCTTATTTTAATAGAATAATCAGAAATAAGGCAAAGATGGATTAATAAGGAGGTTTATCAAAGTATTATTTTTAATTGGGAACAACTCAAATGTCTAAGACTGGAAGACAGTAGCTGGTTTTCTTTCATCGTGCATGATGGGGCAGGCTTATTGGAGCACTGCTTGAACCACGAGCTGAGTCCCAAAGAGACAAGATCAGACACACTTCTAATACCCAAAGGTAATCAGCACATTCAAAGCAAGAAAAGCTGATACAAAAATCCCCTCAAGGGGCAGCATAGAGCTAGTAGCCAGAGTGCTGGATGGTGAAGGCCAAGTCCAGAGTGGAGCTGGATGGTCTCAAAACACCAGTGAGTGCTTGTGTGCTAGGCTGACTGTGCATGGTGTTTGGGGCATCAGGTCAGCTTAAAGGTAGAGAGTAGAGATGGCTTTGTCATATGTAGGTTGTCCCAACTGTGACCACAAAAATTGGCTTCTGTCATTTCATTCCATTCACTGCCTACCCCCACCCCCAACCCAATCTGGCCACCCTTGTTCTTTCTGAGACATGGGGGTCACTTTTTCCAGATCACAGAGTAATTCAGTGGCTGTTTGAATGGGATGACATTCACAGATAATTCTCAATGACTATAGCTGAGACACAAGTATGATGACATTTCTTAGGGTTACTCTTTTTTTGGAATGCACTGTGGCTTAATTATTCCATGCTATTTCCCTTGAAATGCTACAAGTCATATGTTTCCTTTTTTGGTTGTTTGTTTTTTACTCCTTTGTGTTTGTGTGTATGTATATGTCTATCTGTAATGTGTAACAGCAGAACGTGTGTGGAGGAAGGTGTGTGACCCTGTAGAACCTGCTCCATCTCCCAGTTGGAGCTATTAGCCACTTACATGCACAATTAACCAGCTGATTCTTAGATTGAAGGCTGAGGGAACTAATTGCAGGTACAAAAATTGCACCCAGATAAAAGGAGGTTGGTCTGAACATTTAATCTTTAAACCTTCTTCTTCAGGGTGACTAGGTGGTATTTATTTATTTATTTATTATTCATTTATTTATTTACTTACTGTTGACTTAGCTTCTTGGTTTGCTTCCATCATAATTACTGATGGCATTCAGCGGAATCCCCTATTTATGCCATAAATAGTTTCTACCAAGTAACATTCCATTCAAGTTCTGGCACCAAGATCTGTTGCAGGTTCTTTCTCTCTGCATAGTGAATTTTCTCTTAAATCCAGAATCTTGAAATAAGTGTATTGGAAAACATGAATGGTGTATGTGTGTGGGTATGTGTGCTGAATATTTTCTTAAGAAGTACCTCCGGGAAGGGAATTCATGTGTGTTGATAGTTTACTTTGTGCCAGGTACCTTCATCCATTTTTTATTTATCTTCTCAATAACCCAGGGAGCTTGGTAGATTATTTCCATTTAACACATAAGTTACTGAGGTTCCTCAAAGAACCTAGTATCACACAAGTGGCCTAAGGTCACACTACTCACCTTAGGGGTATTTGATATCAAACCCTATTTTTGCATTACTCGACACAATCTTTCAGCTTGGTAAATTTCTTACATCTCTGAGTATATATGAAATGCTGTGGTTCAGACCTCTCTAGAAGGTCTAGTGGCCATCAGACTAATAAACCCCTTAGACTGCATGTACTAAACAGGCCATCTCCACTTTGCCTCTGGGAGTTTTCATGAGGGCCAAGGAAGCATCTTTCATATGTTCTCCTCGGTGTCTGTTTTCCATTTTTCATAGCACTTCTCTCTATGCCCTCTGCATGCCCGGTGATTTGACCTTTCTCCAAGCACATCCCCTTCCAGCTCTTCCCTTCGTAGGTAATATTCCATGATCTGGACTTTCCTAAGGGCTTCCGTTCCTGTTCCCAACTGGCCACTTCCTTATTAAGTCTAAGTCCGGTAGTTGAAAGTAAGTGTGACTCCTATGTTCCTGCCTGTCTAGCTATGCTCCATGTTTTCTGGAGAGTTAATAACATAATTCCACAGAACATGGAGATAGTTAGATGCTAATGGATTAATAAATTACGATGCAGCCACTATCTTCCACTATCAGTTCCCTCCTTGGAAAAATGAAAAGGCGGAACTTAAGTAGCTCTAAGATCTCATCTTTTTCAATTTCATTTTCCATCTATGATCCATGAACCTGCACACGTTATTCTTACATTTTGACAAGGGCCTTCTGTATATAATGGGTCTTAATTAAATGGGCACTTTTATCTCTTCTGCCCCTTAAATGGAATGCCCCAGGTTTAATGCTTGCCCATATTCCCTCTTGTGGGGGATCCCTATGACCCCACGTTTATAATGATGACTTCTAAATCTGTTTCCAGTCTGCCTTTGACCTTGAGAGCCAGATGTCTACATATAACTGCCTCCTGGCCATTTCTACTTCCATAGTCTGCTGGAATTTACTAAATGCAGATCAAAATCATCGTTTCCATACTCCTCCAACCTGACATTCCTTCCTCTTCACGTCACCCTGGTTAGTGCCACTCACTGTCTCACCCACCAGAGGAATTTACTAAGTCTCATGTCTCCTCCTTTCTCATCTCCTATAACCACTACGGTTAGCACTGCCTGTTTATTCTTCATCTTATACCTTTCTTTCATCCATTTAATGCTCTTGACGGTCCAGAATAACCCCCATAATATTTCTTAGAAATTATTACAATGACCTCATACAGGTTTCCCATCATCTTGTACTGTTTTATGTCAATCTTCTTGCCATGCCCACCCCACAGATTTGGTGGGAGAAACAAATGAAAGAAGGAACATGGATGTGCTTTGCAAAATTTAGAGTTTTCTCCTAGTGTGCTTTGTTATTTGTCATGTTCTGGAAAGACATAGAGCTGATTTTGGCTTCCGAGTCTTTGTGCTGCTTCAAGTGTCTAGAATGGGCCTCTTTTTTTTTAAAATAATACCCAATCTTCAGGACCTAGCACAAGCCCACATTTTCCAAAAGCCTGACCTGACCATCTTCAACTTCTTTAACACGTGTTCTCTCTAAACACCCGTGCTTCACTGATTGAGCTTCATTAATTGCACTGTTGAACTGCCCTTTGATTTCCTGGTCCATGGTTTGTTCTCCATGATCAGATTGTAAGGCTGCTTGAAGGCAGGGGCTGTATCTTACTTTGTTCTAAAGCACATTTGAAGGTGCTCAAAAACCACTTGATTTGATAGACTGGATGGATGGATAGATGGATGGATGGACGGAGGAAGGGAGGGACATTCAGCAGACCTTTGATTTGGTGTAGGTGTGCAAACCTGCCACGCTGCAATCTGCTCAAGAAAGAGGACCACTATGCTCCTTTGTTACAGAGGCCCAGCCTTTCAAACGGAGGAACAGCGTCTGGATCCTGAACCCCTGACTCCACCCAGGTGCAGAGGGAATGAAGCTAGTGGAAATACTATAAGGCAATAAAATGTTGTCACGTCTCGCACCTAATGCTCTTCTTCCTCTCTTTAGTGGTGTACCAGGAAGAGACTGCAAGGTCAGGTGACGAGGTGAGAGCAATGTGCAAGGCGAGCCGTCTAGCCAGCTCTGCATCTCTCTAGCAAGCACATCCGGCGGTTGTAGCCCACTGTTCCCTCTGCCCAGATGGGCGCATCCATCACTTCCCCAGCAAACGTGGTCAGTGCTCCCTCTTGTTTATCCAAATACACAATTGAACAATAAACGAAACCACGGAAAATCCACAGTGCCAGAGGTCTTCATTCATTGCCGATTTTAAATGAACCTAGATGCATAGGCTGAAAAGAGCTATTTGCAGGAAAGAATTTAAACTCCATTAGGAAAGGGGAGAAAATTGTGCAACGTTTGGTCAGTCTGACAAGGTAAAAGGGAGTGTGGGGTGGGGGCAAGCTATTAGGGAAGGAAAGACTTTCCCACACAATGAGCAGGCATGGGGTGGAATAAAGTGCCAGTGTGGGTCTGGAAACAATGCGTTAATACGTGCAAAGTTACCAGGCAGGAGAGCCATTCTTTCTTTACAGTTAAAAAACATTACAAATACCTTCGTGCTTCTCCCTCTCTTCTCCCAACTATGCCTCCCCTTCCTTTGATTCTCTGTCTGTGGAACTTAAAGCATATTTGAGGTGCTTAAAGGAAGCCTTCGACCACTGTTTAACAAGTCAATACTAATTATTGTTTAGCACTGGATTATGGGCCAGATCATGGAATTAAAACAGAGCTGTTAGGACACCTTTGTACCTGGCAAAGAGTTAATGAGCACATGCTGGGTCCCTGTAGTAACTGCCAAGCTGGTTCACTATTTTATTTCAGTGGCTCAGGAACAAAATGTAAGAAATCGTTTTCCTTTTATCTCAACGCTTCCTTCCTTCATTAGGAAAATGAGGAAGTTTCATTGTAATGTTTATCACAAATTGGGAAATTATTTTTATATTGTTCAATTAGTTGGTTATCTACGGAGTGGTGTGGATGTGTGTATTAAAGGGGAAAAAATTATAAGAGAATCTGGTGTTAGCAGAAGGTACTAGATTAGTGACTGGACTTTTGCATGACTCTGTGTGTGTGAGTGTGTATGTGTGTGTGTGTGTAGTTTGGCATTCTCTATTTCTGGAAATGGGAAGGATGGTTTTTGCCTCCAGGTCCAGGCACTTAGGGTTTCTTGTTAAAGGCTCCAGTGCTAGGACAATGTGGGGGGAGGGAAGGAAGCTGGGAGAAACAAGGGTAACTTATTATGAACAATCTGTTTGTTCTGATTAGATGTCCAGCTGGGATGGCGACCAGATTTTCCATAGCAACTCAATTCACCAGATCCCCAAGCAACTAAATGGTCATGGCATTGGGGTCCTGCTGACTGGAGTGGGATTTGAACCAGTGACCTTTTAGCGAGAAGTGGTCTCTGCTATTGCTAGGCTAGGTGCATGTGCTGTTTGGCTTGACCCTCTCACCGCCCCACACCGACTCCCCCAAATTAACATTTAGACATGCTCAGCTCTGAAATGTGGGGTGCAAATGATCTGCTGATCATATCGAAAGCTGATACTAAATGCTTTTGAAGTAGTTGGAAAATATATTATTTGTGTAAATTCTATAAATTTTAATTTTCTTATGTGAAAACAAAGCAGGGGACATACTCTATACATGTGTCAAGGTATGTAAAATAGAATGTATAGCTTAATAACAGGTTTTGTTTTTCTTTCCTGTAAGTTTTACTACTTGCTTCGGTAATTTACAACATTGGAGTTAATATGTAGGAACTAGGAATCCATTAAGATGTGTATCTTATGCAGTTGGTATTACATATAATATTTTTTTTAAAAAACCTCTTAATCTTTAACCCCAATATTGCATAAAGGTGCAAGGAATCAATTATAGATAAAAAGAGGGGAGATCTCGGAGGATTTACAAACCTATTGGCAGTTTCTCAAGATACAGTACTAGATCTGTATATATTGGTGTTTAGCTTTCCACGGCTCAGACAGGGAGAAACGTTGTAATTGATTTTATTTGAAAGCAAGAGATGGGGCCAAAGGGGAACTTTGGGCCTCCGGTTTTTGCTTTCAGCCCATATAAAGTAAGCATTCCTATCAGAGGTGTTTAATGGTGTACTCAGTCTTTTTTTATTTTTTTTTTTTAATACAAGTGTGAATGGGTGCCTCGGGCTAAGTAAGCCCCACCTCTCAGAACCTCAGAGGCTGTGGGAATGATCCCTGCCCTCCAGACCCATCCTTAATTGGCCTATAGTACAAGAAGCAATTAAAACTAAGGGTCTGATTCATAAAATGAGAACATGCCATTTAAATGTGTGCAAGGGGATTCCTGTTCACAGAAGCAGCAAGGACTTTGTTTTTATCCTCTAAGCTCACTTTTTCGCAAATTTACTTTTCTCTTCTCCTCTGGGCCCTAAATGCCCTCCATCCTTTCTCTGGCAAATCTAAAGCTAGCTTCAGGACCAAGGTTAGGCTCAAGCCCTGGGGTGCCTGTTGACTAGTCCACTCCCTGCCTCCCTTCCTTTGCCAGACGTTGTAATCATTTTACATATCTATTCCTATTCTTTAATCATTTTTATATTTTGCCCAACAGTATATGGAATGAAAACTCCAGAAACTGAGTTGGGCATTGCTGTCTGCAGAGATTGAAGGTAAGGGAAAGCCGCCAGGCCTTGCCAGGCATAAGTGTCAGAAAGCTAGAGGAAGAGAAAGTACCCCAGAACTCCAAGAGGTTTAATTATAATACAAGGGAAACCCTCATTTGCACAATCACTATTTACATTTTCCCACAATTTATACTCCCCTAATATCCACCCTTTCACCCCATACTAATAAGCTCTTAATGTTGTTAATATACTAAGTTTCTGAAATGTGAATGGAAATTCTGTTAAGTTGAACATGATTCTTGGGAAGCATTTCATAAATTTCTCTATTATTTGTTTTAGAATGAACTCAGAAACAGAGAGAGTCACTTTTTGGAGACACTAATTAGGGCTTAGAAGTCATACCTTTTTTAGTTCAACCATAATTCTGAGCACAGGAGTCCATTGGAGATGTCTTTTAGACTAATGTCCAACCCTAGGGAGGAATTGTAATAATATGCCCTTGAGAATATCGTGTTAGCTGTCTAGGACAAACTAAGTTGACAAATAATCCCTTGATTCAGTTCTTGTGTTTGCTTTGTTTGATAAACAATAGTCCAATCCTTATTATTCCCTACAGTTTATTTTATACTGTAATTCACAAAATTTCAATTCATTTTCTGGAATGATGCAATAGGCCTTGTTATCCTAGACTTTTTATTTTTTCTCTTACCAATGGGGCAGGGGTTACGAGGCACTTCAACCTAGCAAAGGACTGCATCTACACCACACCAAACAACCAGGCAGAAAGGGAAAAAATTCAGTCTATCCCCCAGATGGCTCCAGATGCATGGCATTGTGTAGACAGAAACAGCCAGATGGCTGAATGGAGTTTTCACTTTCCATCTGGGTGCGTGACATGGGGGAGATGCAGCCAAAGCCTTGAGCCAAAAGAAAATGCCAGCCAAGGAGATGAGGTATTGCTACTTTCCAGGCACCTAATTCCTGCTGGGTGGTATGTATGACCTTGGCTTAATTTATTTATTTATTTTCAGAAAGAGGTCACTCTTATGGGAATGATGATTGTCAATCTCTAGAAATAAAGAGGGAGGCAGATAGACCTAAAGAGACATGGAAAGAATGTCTCATTTGCTTTCTTGCAAGGAAAGGTCTTTTACTGACTTGGGACAACAGTGGCACCTCGGGAAGGCCTTCTCCTTCTGGGTCTCTAGAGGTCAGCAAGCCGGAGGAATGACAAAACACCAGCTGAAAATGAAAACATCAAGGGGCTTTCTGTCCATCATGGGCACCACTAAATCTTTTTGAACAACCCTGGGCAGTGAGTTACGGCAGCATGGAATTGACTTACAGTTTATTTCTAGTAACAGGCAGTTACTATGTCAAATCTGAAACCATTCAGATAGGCCTATAAAAATATATGACAAAGTAACAGGCTACCTCTAGCTCCTTTTAGCATGTTTATGAGTTTAAGCTGCAATGAGCTTGTGTTTATAGAAATGAATACGGAGACTTCTTATGTCCTGTTCCTTCTCTCTCCTTGCCCTGCAACCTGTTCTTGTGTGGCAGTGGGGTGGTGTCCAAGACCTTTGGAATGTTTGAACTTCCAACTGGAGTTGCCATTCTGTTTAGAGGCAATTTTGTTGATGAGCATGCAACTTGTATTTTTCTGAAATGGCTGAAGTTCTTTTGTGGGGGAATAGGATAGTTAAATGACAGTCGCAAAAGAAAATCATCTCTAGGTTACCTTTCACCCACTCTTCCCCCCAACGCTGTTTGACACTTACTGAGAAACTAATTGCAGCCTGAGTGGGGCCACGGGACAAATGCTGCAATCCATGCATAATGCGACAACAAATATAATAAGGTAACATATTGTTAAAAGTCAATACCCCAAGTCTAACAATACGGTGTCACAGACTCATAAGTGTGTAACCATATAATACGTAATTGTCATCTGCAGAGAAAAGATCTAATTTTGATAATGCATATTGAGATTGGTTGTCTGAAAAATGCTTATGGCTCCAGAAGGTTTGACAGTCCTGAATATCACATAATAGCATGTAGCCAAGGAACATGGGATGAAGGGAAGAAAAAAAAGACTCTATTCCAGAACGCAAGCACTCCCACTCACAGTTTTATTTTTAAAAGAACACGATTCTGCTCAGACAATGAGCGAGTTTACTGTGAAGGGTGATTTGTTCCTGGGTTTCCATATCTGGCATCTGTGTGTGTACTCTAGGGTCCTGCTCCATCCTCCAGGGCTGAGCAGGACCTTTCTTTGGCAGACGCAGATATCCTGCCGTCTCTGACTTACAGGGACTTGGTTTGGGTTTACATTCCAAAGAAATCAAGCAGAATCCACCGATTCTTGAGGTATAGTATTTACTATCTACCATATTTCTTCAGTTCTCGGAAGTACCTTTTTAGCAGTTAAGATATCTGTGGTCATCTTCCTTCTTATAGTCTGAGAGTAGATTTAACATATTTTCCCTTCTTCTACTCCCTAAAAAGATGGTTTGAAATCAAATATATACCTTTCAACCCATGATACCTTAGAGTTGAGGAAATACTGTGATAATAAATATGTTAGCTACCATTTGGGGCACATGTGGTGTCCCT